TTTGCAAATGGGTCTAAGGTTTCCTTAATAAAAGGGGGGGTTTAAGGGGTCCTCCCTTATAATAAATTATTAAATATAAGTAATTCGCAAAAGGGTTCGAGGTTTTCTTAGTAAAAAGGGGGGTTTAAGGGGGTCCTCGTCTTATATTAAATTATTAAAATATAAGTAATTCGTCAAATGGTTTGAGGTATCTCTTATAAAAAGAAGTATTTAAAGAGGTTCCTTTTTTATAATAAATAATTAGATAAATTATTTCTTGCGCCAATTACTTTTAGATTTATTCAGTTTCTATTATTATTTATTTTATAATTTACTTAAATATATAAAGATCTTTATAAATCGAATAATTAGCTCGTTGGTGACACTACAAAGAACTTGGTCCTTTGCCCTGGTACTCTTCGTGGGTTTCCCCGTAAAAAGGACTCGAATTTCCATAAGGCCTTATAAAGCCCCATAGAGCAGCCTAGCTAAAGGCTATTTAAAGAAAAGGGTTGTCGGTTAATAAATGTGATTAGTAAATGTGATTAGTAAATATAATTAGTAAATATGATTAATAAATATGATTAGTAAATATAATTAGTAAATGTAATTAGTAAATGTGATTAGTAAATATAATTAGTAAATCTAATTAGTAAATGTAATTAATAAATCTGATTAATAAATTTAATTAATAAATATAATTAATAAATCGATTATTAAATATAAAATACAAGTTAATAAAAGTTAATATAAGTTAATATAAGTTAATTTAAGTCAATACAAATTAATACAAGTTAATACAGGTCGATACAGGTCGATACAAGTCAATACAAGTCAATTCGTATAGCTAAAGGCTATTCAAAGAAAGGGGTTGTCGGTTAGTATGATTAATAAATGTAATTAATAAAAGTGATTAGTAAATATAATTAGTAAATGTGATTAGTAAATGTGATTAGTAAATGTAATTAATAAATGTAATTAATAAATCTGATTAGTAAATGTGATTAATAAATCTGATTAGTAAATATAATTAATAAATATAATTAATAAATATAATTAATAAATCGATTATTAAATATAAGATACAAGTTAATAAAGGTTAATATAAGTTAATATAAATTGATTCAAGTCAATACAAATTAATACAAGTTAATACGGGTCGATACAAGTCAATACAAGTTAATACAAGTCGTTTCGTATAGCTAAGAGCTATTCAAAGAAAAGGGTTATCGGTTAATGTAATTAATAAATGTGATTAATAAAAGTAATTAATAAATATGATTAGTAAATATAATTAATAAATATAATTAGTAAATGTGATTAGTAAATGTGATTAATAAATATAAGTAGTAAATGTAATTAGTAAATATAATTAGTAAATGTAATTAGTAAATATAATTAATAAATGTGATTAATAAATATGATTAGTAAATCTAATTAATAAATATAATTAATAAATATAATTAATAAATCGATTATTAAATATAAAATACAAGTTAATAAAAGTTAATATAAATAAATATAAATTAATTCAAGTCAATCCAAATTAATATAAGTTAATACGGGTCGATACAAGTCGATACAAGTCAATACAAGTTAATTCGTATAGCTAAAAGCTACTCAAAGAAAAGGAAAGGGAGGGAGAGCGAGAGGGTATGATTCGCGTAATCTTATTGCTACCTGATTATTAAAACGCTAATATCGTTATAGCAAAGCTCTCACCTTCAATTTAATTAATAATAAATCTGTAATTATAATTCTTTTAAGATTTTCTATTTTTATTATATACTTTTAATACAAGTTAATTTAAGTCAAGTCGATACAAGTCAATACAAATCAATACGTATAGCTAAAGGCTATTCAAAGAGAAAGGTTGTCGGTACATTAATATCGACTTAGCTTAGTTAAAGCCAGTTTTTATTAAGGTTTTTTATTTTCAATATACTTTACGATATACGAAACATTAACTTTAATTTATATTCGTTGATTTGTCGGTCGCAAATTAATTAATCCTTTAAAGTCTTATCAATTGCAATAGAAATGATTTTTTAAAAAGAAACTCGAGAGCGAGCAGCTTAAAACATAGCACTGCGATTAATTAATCGATTAATAAATCGATTAGTAAATCGATAAGTGAATATAAAATACAAGTCAATATAAGTTAATATAAATCAATATAAATCAATACAAGTTAATATAAGTTAATATAAGTCACTACAAATTAATATAAATCAATAAAAGTTAAAATAAATTAATACAAATCAATATAAGTAAATACAAGTTAATACAAGTAATACAAATTAATACAAGTGAATGCGTATAGTTAAAGGCTATTTAAAAGAAAAGGGGATATGATTCGAGTAATCGTATTGATATTCCGATTAATAAATAAATTAGTAAATCAATTAG